TATTTTTGCCGGCAGAGGAGAGGCCACTAGACATGGATATTCAGGCTTTCGCCAACCAGTTCTTGAGGTTGGATGTTTCAAAGCCTAGCAGGGTTCTTGCTTGTGTTGTGGCATAGTCATCTTTATTGGAGCATATCAAGGCTTGTAAGTTTGATGATCCTTATTTGTTGGTGTTGAAAGACATGATGTAGCGGAGTGGTGCTAAGGAGATCGTGATTGGATATGGTGGTGTTATGCGGCTTCAAGGCCGAATTTGTATTTTGAATATTGATGGGTTGATAGAGTTGATCCTTGAGGAGGCTTATAGTTTATGGTATTCCATTCACGCATGTGTCACGAATATGTATCGTGACTTGAGACAACACTATTGGTGGCGAAAGATGAAGAAAGACATTATTGGTCATGTCTCTCGGTGTTTGAATTGTCAACAGGTGAAGTATAACATCAGAAATCGGGCGGGTTGACTTAGAAGTTGGTGATACCGGAGTGTAAATGGGAGCGCATCACTATGGACTTTACGGTAGGCTTACCATGGACCTTAAGGAAATATGATGTTGTTTGGGTTATTATGGACCAGTTGATTAAGTCCGCACACTTCATTCCAGTAATGACTTCCTATTCTTCAGAGAGTTTGGCTCAAATTTACATCCGAAAGATTATTCGCTGCACAGTGTGCCCATTTTTATCATTTAAGATCGGGGCACGCATTTCACTGCACACTTTTGGAGAGCTATGCAGCATGAGTTGGGCATACAGGTTGAGTTGAGTACCACGTTTCATCCTCAGAAGCACGGATAGCCTGAGCGTACTATTCAGATTTTGGAGGACATGATGCGGGCATGCTCTATGGATTTTGGGGGTCAGTGGGACCGGTTTTTACCTCTAATAGAGTTCGCCAACAACAATAGCTATCAGTCGAGGCTAGATTGTTGGGCACAAATTTGGTTCGTGATGCTTTGGAAAAGATGAAAGTGATTCAAGAGCGACTTCGTACAGCTCAGTCGAGGCAAAAGAGTTATGCAGTCCGGAAGGTTTGAGATGTGTCTTACATGAAGGGTGAGAAGGTTCTTCTCCGAGTTTTACTTATGAAGCGCGTGATGCAATTTGGAAAAAAGGGCAAGTTGAGCCCGAGGTTTACTGGCCCATTTAAGATCTTGGAGAGAGTTGGGGAGGTTTCATATAGGCTTGCAATGCCTCCTAGCCTAGCAGGGGTATATTTAGTATTTTACATTCTTTAGAAGTACCATGAAGACAAGTCACATAATTTAGACTTCAGCACGGTACAACTTAATGATAATTTGACATATGAGGAAGAGTCGATGGCTATTATAGACCGGTAGGTTCGGAAGTTGAGGTCTAAAGAGATTCCTTCTGTGAAAGTGCATTATAGAGGTCAGACGATTGAGGAGGCTACTTGGAAGTCCGTGTCCGATAGGAGGAGTAGATACCTACACCTTTTTGCTAGTCCAGGTATAGCTCTATGTCCGTTTGAGGACGAACATTTTTTTAGAGGTGAAGAATGTGATGACCTGATAGGTCGTTTTGAGTACTAAATCCTTTTTGTCTTGTTGATTTTTGAAAAGTTTATATGTGACATTTTGAAAAAAATGTAATTTTTAACTTTAAAAGTGACTAGAGTTGACCACGGTCAATGTTTTTGGTAAATGACCTCGGATCGGTATTTTGACGATTTTGGTAGATTCGTATGATTTTTTGGACTTGTATGCATGTTTGGTTGGGGTCTGGGGTAACCCGATGCCGTTTTGTCGTATTATGTGAAAAGTTGGAAAAATGAGTTTTGAAGTTGAAAATCTTGAGTTTTAATGATCGATTCTTGAACTTGATATTATTTTTATAATTTGAGATAGTGAACAAGTTTGTTTGATGTTATTAAACTTGTGTGGATGTTCATATTGGATCTCAAGGGACTCAGGTGAGTTTCGGATGCATTGCGGATAGTTTTGGATATCTGATGCAACAACTGGTGTTGCTGAATTGCAAGTCTCGCAATTGCGAGAACCTGTTCGCAAATGCGAGCCTCGCATTTGTGATGTCAGGCTCGCATTTGCGATAATGGGCATGGCTGGAATATTTTGCAATTACAAAGTTAGTATCGCTTTTGCGAGCCAGGGGGTCGCATTTGCGATGGCAGTGTCGCAATATCGATACTGAGGAGGAGCAAGGCAGCTTCGCAAATGCAAGCTTGGTCCGCATTTGCGATGAACGAGGGTCTTTACAAAATGAAGGAAAAGTCACATTTGCGACATTAGAAGCACTGGGACACTGATCGCTTTTGCGATCAGTGGTTTGCTTTTGCAAACGTCTCAATTGTGAATAAGAGTTCGCAATTGTAATATATGCAACTAAGTAAAATATTGGGATTTCAGAGCTTAACTTATTTTACACTATTTTTTAATCATAGACCCCATAGAAGCGATTTTTAGAGAGAAATTTCTTCCCAAATTCATAAGTTAATATTTAAATTCATTTTCAATCAATTTCAATTACTTTTTCATGAATTTTATCATCAAATCTATGCATTTCAAAATAGAAATTGGGGGGTTTTGGGTAGAATTTAGGAATTTTATAAAATTAAGATTTAAACTTCAAATTGAGGTCGAATTTCGAAAAAAATCACATATCCGGGCTTGGAGATGAATGGGTAATCATGATTTAATTTTAATTTCAGATTTCGACCACGTGGGCCCGGATTTACTTTTTGTTGACTTTTTCAACTATGTTAAAGATTGAACCTTTTTCATCCGATGGTAGTTTCTAAAGCTTGTTTTTGACTTATTTGAATAATATTTGACTAGATTCAATTGGTTTGGAGGCTTGTTCTAAATAAAAAATCATGTTGGATTGTTAATTGTGTTCCGAAAAGAGGTATGTATCTTGGTTAACCTTGATTTGAGAAAAATAGGATAAAATAGGGTCTATTTTCTATGTGATCTATGTGTTGGGGACGACGTATATGCAAGGTGACAAGTGTATATGCGTTGGCCATAGGATAAGCATGAAATTAGCCCCATTTGTGCCATGTTATCTTTGTATTATGTCTTCAATGCTTTAGATAGATTGTTTAATCCATTAATTACTCGTATTCATGTTATTTCTTATGTCGAGATTATTATGGTATTGGTTGCTGATGCTAAATTGTTGGAAGATTTTCATATAACGAGTTGTGTTCAAATTCTATTATTGATGTTGAACTTGCTCCCACCTTGCTTGGTAGTGTGTTGTTTGTGAGAAAAAATAAAATACACGAAGGGGATTGATATGTCTTATTTACATATTGATATCATTGCTTGAGTGAACGTGAGGATAAAGCACATAATGGTGATGTCGTGCAATTGCTTTTATATTATTATGTGAGGATGAGAGTAAAAACACAAAGGGTGATACCATGCACTTGCTTTTATATTATTAAGCTAGGATGGGAGTAAAAGTACGAAGGGTGATGCCGTGCACTTGCTTTTATATTATAACGTGAGGATGAAAGTAAAATCACGAAAGGTGATGCCATGTAAACTTGGCTGATTTCATTGCTCTTTACTTTGATACTTGAAATGTGGACTTGGCTTGTGACTTTGTTATTTACTTTGGAAAGAGGTTTACTCAGTGATACTTTACCTTATGTTTCAGTTTATTACCCATTTACTTGTGTACTTGTTATCCCATTCTCTTGTCCCTATCCCGTTGTGATATTTGACACTTTATCTGTTATTTCGTTATTTCTTGATATATAACTGCACATGTTTATTGTAGGTGTCTTGTCTTAGCCTCGTCAATACCTCGCCAAGATTAGGCTCGACACTTACTAGTACATTGGGTCGGTTATACTCATACTACACTTCTACATTTCTTGTGCATGTCTGAATATTGGTACCAACGGAGTCCCGAGAGGTGCTTAGCGAATACCAGACGGGTGATTCAATGTAGAACTGCATTTTGTTCTCGGCCCTTGAGTCGTCTTCCTATTTCCATTGTACTGTTTTCATTTTTCGGACAATGTTGTATTTTATTTCAGAATAGTGTATGTAGCAAACTCTAGAAGCTCATATACTTGTGATTCCACATCTTGGATGGTTTGCGTTAGTATGGATTTTAGACTTAACTTGTCCGCTTTAGAGTTGCTTTTACTTATTCTTAGTATCTTGCTGATTAGTCATTTGCTGTTATTCTTTCGTATTTATTTGTTGTGTGTTGGCTTGCCTAGCAAACGTTGTTAGGTGCCATCATGATCCTGATTGGTTGGGATATTGGGTCGTGACAACCCGTTTTTGCGAGAAAACTGAGGCACGATAATATCCATTCCACGTGATCACCAAAACATGTATATCAATTAATTAGCTCCTATCAAGTTTATGCACCTTTACATCAATGATGATTTTTGAAAATGGTGAAAGAAGAAGAATAAGTGCCTTAAATAAATGAAATTTGAAAAATTGTGGGTAATTGTTAGGAATGAGGGTTTGCTAGAGATAAGGGTAAATTTGGATGCATAATATTATAGTAGGTGCAAATTTTGGCGAGATATAACGAGATGAATGTAGACAACATTCCAAAGAAGAGAAGTAAATTTGACCATAATGAATTAGCTCCCGTTTGGCCATAGATTTTGACTTTATTTTTAAAATTTTTTAAAAACATTATTCGTCTGTGAAAAATGATTATGTTTTGGAAAAAAAAGTTCTCAAAAACTTGTTTAGGACAGTTTTTGGGTGAAAATTTTTCTTACCCTTATAAAATTTTAACTTTTCTTCAAATAAAATACATGTCCAAACAAAACTTTAACTTTAAAAATTATTTTTCAATACAAATTCAATTTTTTTTCTATATTTCAATTAAATCTATGTCCAAACACTAAATATCTAACCGGCATTAATAATTCACCAAGTTGGATATTAGGGCCTATGTCCCTTAATTTGGTCTATTCATGTGATTGCTATAGTAAGCGAATGCTGTATTTGGACTACTTGACTAGAAAGTGTCCATCTATCGTCCAGGTACTCACATTTCCAATCGAGTAAATCTTCATTCCCACCACTGCTTTCCTCTACCTTCGCTTTCTCTTTTTCTTCTCCTCTGTCCATGGTATCTAGGGTTTTTGTCCTGCTGGAACTACGTATCGTTGTCTCCCTCGCTAAGCTTATTTGCATTGGGACATCTAATTGATGTGTTTTTAGAGTTCTAACCAATCTGCACTCATCTAGAAATCATTGGTATGTGTATCGCTGTTGCTGATGAAATTGTTTGTTCTTAATTGCTCTGCCGTATTCTGTAAACGTAGTTCTTTCTGTTTGTTGAGGTGAACGCTATATTGAATGAGCTTTCTTATATGATGAAGGAAAAATGATTCTGTTGAAATAGTGGATGCTACAGTACAGCATAACACACTTCGTGATTAGTACAATCTAATTTTGCGGGGAATGTAAATTCTAGTACTTTTAATGCGTATGTCTGTACTATATTTCGATCTCCTATGATTGTTTATTTATTTTAAGGATGCAAATGCTATTTTAGCCTTTCTAAAGTTCTATTTACAATTTGAACACGTCCTATATTTTTGAGAAAAATGTGATTTGATACAAGTTTCATGTATCTGGTGCTTTGGAATTTTACGGAAGTCTAATTAACTCTACTGTAAAAAAGAAGGCAAAGATTTATTTTTGTTATTGCTTGAACTAAGACGTATGATGAGAACATGTTGCATTCATACATTATGAAAGGTGCACGGTCATGTTTTTTCTTTTAGCAAATTAAGAGTGACAATGCTCTTAAAACTCTCATATTTTGACCACAAGTCTGCTGCCTTTTCATTTACTCCTAGTATAAAAGAAAAAGGCAAAACATGGAACTTGCCGCGTGGAAAAGGAATGAAATGAGAGAAGCATTTCAAATTAGAGGACCTTTTCTTTGGTGACTGGATTTCTTTGGTGACTGGATGCTCATGAGAGTAATTGATTATCATTTGTTGGTTATGCAGTTGTTGCTTTGGAAGCCTAGGCAGTGCGAGCATCTTGCAGCATGTTGAAAAGCAATTGATTCTTTTGACTAGGAAAGCAAAATTACATATGGCAGGACAAGTGGCTTTCTGTTCAAGTTTTAACCTGCTTGACAATGGACGGTTCTCAAAACAACAACTCTTCATGCCTAAAAGTTCACCTATGTTAGTACGCAGGTCTTGTTTCCTGATCTAGCCACTTATATTTCTCTGGATTTAGTTGCAAAAAAAAGAAGATAAAGATATGAAAAGAAGACTGCATCCCCCTAATGCTTCTTTATCCCCTTAGGGTTGCAGGTTATGGAATTCAAATCTTAGGCTTCCACGTCGAATAGATATAGGCTTCCTCTTCTTTGCTGTTGCATAGCCATCAGTATAATAGGGTCACTGCCATTAAAAAGAAAAAGAAAAAAACTTTACTTCAGTGATGTCTGATACACGCTATCTTTGTCTCAGGGGATTTTGCTTTGAGAGTTGTAAAGTATCCCGCTTGCCATCATTGAGCGTTCGGAAGGCCATTACACCGTACTTAATAAAACTGGAGAGAAGATCAAACATGCAGAGTTGCAAGAGGTGCTTTTGCCTAGCATCTCTGGTTGATGCTGACGCTGCAGTAACTTTCGAATGGGTTCCTACCATTGACCAAATGCTTCTCATGACTAGTATAGTGCTTACATATATAGCTGGAGTGATACCTTCCGAAGAAAATTCTGCTTTAGATGCTAGAGGAAAGATCCAAAGCGGAAATGTTGACACTGAAGGATCATCCGTTTTGGGTAGGTAAGAATGGTTGTTAGACGAGAGCTTTGTTTTATTGGAAGTCGTATTGTTGGTTGATTGAAGGTGCATTTCAGTCTTTGGCATTGTTTGATACTTTGATCTATGTATCGCTTTTCATTGTTGCACCTTTTCCATGTTTAATTGCAGTGAGAGGAAAAATGATGATCGCATCAGCATAGAGTTTGCATGGGATGTAGTAAAAGGAAAACTGATGAATTCTCTCTCTTCCATAAAACGAGGGGATATTGGTGCTACAAGCCTTGCATCTGAACAGAGACATGGAAAACAGCCTTCAAATTTGTCTGCCCTTGCTCAAGGTCCAAGGTTAAGGTTGATGTGGACGTCTTTTCAGTTACTCAAGAAAGAGGCAGGTACTGTCTCTATCATTGCCTTATGCATTTGAATAAAACATCTTGGTGATAATGGAAAACCTGTTTGATACTAAAAAAATAGGTAATCTTGGCTGAACTAGACTCATTTATTCATGTAATTAGTGGAGCAAAATGAAGGATATTAGGTAGTTTTGAATTAGTTTTGTTAAGAAAACAACTCATACACCTGAAAAATATGGGACAGTTAATTACGACCAGCAGATCCTTCATATTCTTTTTTGATTAAAAGAATGACCCAACCAATCTTGAACATCTTGGTGATATTATAATTGGAAGTTTCTTGTTTGGTACCAAAATATCAGGTAAACTTGGCTGAAGTAGACTCATTTACTCATGAAACTAGTGGAGATAATAAAGAATTAGGTACATCTGAATTGGATTTGTTAAGAAAACAGGTCATGCACCTGACCAATAGGGGATAGATAATTACGGCCACTAGATCCCCCATATTCTTATCAAACGTACTGGTATGACACAACCAATATTGAAACACTAAAAAATGACTTAACCAATCTTGAAAATGAGGTGGGCAACTAGCTCTAATATCCCTCGCAAGCCAAACGATGGACATCTTGTAGTGTGGATAACATATCACAAGGCTGGACATTGGGTAATACAAAAACATAGATGGGTTTGGCTTTGATACCTTGTTAAGAAAATGGCTCATACGCTTGACCAACGCGTCCCACATTGGTTGACAGTACGAGCATTGTTTCTCTAATCTTGGACAATTCTCATCTCATGAGCTAGCTTTTGGGATTAAGTTAGGTCTAATGTCCATTTTTCTTAACATTGAATCAGCACCATACTCATCCCTAATGTTGGGTTCCCAATTGTGTGCTCATTTAATCTTATCTCGCTCCAGATGTCTAGCTCTGGCATGTGGAGGGGTGTTAAATTCCCACATTGATTCAGGGTATGGTTGTAGTCTCTTTATAAGTCTTGAACAATCCTCACATTTCCAGCTAGCTTTCAAGGTTGAGTTAGGTCCAAGGTCCATCATCTAAATAACCTTATAAAGAAAAAAGTCCATTTTCTTAATAGGTGTCAGTTGATGCATAGTTTGCACTGCTAAGGTTTATTATGAATGCAGCATTTTCTTTATCAATAGTTTTGAGTCAGATATTTGGGGTCCATGACATAATTTGTCTGGTACTGGGGCATTAGCCTTTTAATGTTTCACATCGACAGTAAGTGGAAGACGGAAGAGCAGAACTGTTGGTTATACAGTTCATTTTTGTTACTTTTCTTTCCTTTTCAGTCTTTAATTACAGGTTTGCACCTTAACAGGTTGATAATATTTCTGCAAATGCTGTTACCTTTAGCAGTGGTAACCTGTTGGCCATTTTTAATGATGTCATTCAGACGTTGTGTCAGCCTTTATGTGTTACTTGGCTGGAAGAGGAACTCTCTTTGAGAAATGGCAATACTAACAAGGTATGACTTGAAGCATATACTTGAATTTTAGAAAGAACATAGGCTCAAGTCTGTTTATATTTAGATCTTTCTTCTTCCTATTACATTGTCAGGAATGTCTTTCTTCACTGGTTAATAACTTAAACGGATATGGAGTCCTGACAAACATCAGAAAGTCGGGGAAGGACCATCTATTTGCTGAATTAATCTGTGTTCTTAGATTTGGTTCTGTCAGGTAAGAAACCAGCCCTTGCTTCTCTTAGTCATATGAATATAGAATGAACAATAATTCTTATGTTTATTTCTTCTATTCGTTTACCTTTTCTTTGAGTAAAGAACTAGTGATTAAGCCTGCTGTCAACAATATTCCTGCTATATTCATGTATGTGTACTTTTAGCAGAATGAATTGCCTTGATTCTTTCATTCTGAACTGTCTGTAGGAGCTTTTGATGTTTTGAAAAAGGCTTATGTTTTTCCCGGCTATTTCTTTGAACAATTTTCATTTTAACTTCACTAGGAAATCTTTTTTCAACCCTTACTTCTTTGAGAGAATATATCCGTTTCACATTGGTCGAGCAAGGGTTTCAGAGGGATTTATAAGGTCTTGGGCTACTCTGCCCATTGCCTTAACACTTTTTTTTTGGGGGAGGGG